GGTAAACACGTCACTAAAATATCCTTTCCAAAAATGGGCCCCAATCTGGATAATGAGAGGACTAGGCCATTAACCTGAATTTCTTCCATCTTCAGTTCTATTTACAGACGTACAGAAAAATTGCCCATTGCTTTAGGAAGGCAGAAGTTGGTCACGCTGACCTTTCTACTGGCATTTGGTTAGCTCTTTCTGTCTCTCTGATTCATTCTCTTGGCCATAGAGCCTCTGTCCCTTTGCCATCAGAGTATTTGTGTGCTCTTATTTCTGAAAGCTCTTCTCGGGGTGCTGCTGATATTCCTATGCATGACAGGAAATATGCAGAAGGGAAAGAGTGGGAGTGTGATTTGGGGAAGTACATTTATATATGTGTGGTCACCTGAGTTGTCACAGTGCCTTGAGGAAGCTGAGGAGATTATGTGAACCTGGGGTGTGTCAGTGGAAGAAATGTATGACTGTGTGTGTCTTCAGCTATGTGCTTGCTCATGTTTACCTCAAGAGTTTAAAGCGCCACCCCTCGAGCTGATAATTTCCTTAATCTTAGCTTGTTAGAAGCAAAACTTAATTTTCTTTTCATTCCTAGTCTTTCTCATTTTCCTTCATTATTTCCATCTGATGCCCTTTCCTATGTAGCAAGATTCAACAGTCTACACCTTGCCAACCTTATTTGAGCACTAGATCCTCCTGAACTTATGTACTGGTGGTCACCTGATGACTCTCCCTCGTTTCTCATGGTTCTATGTAAGGAAGCTCCCGTTCATCCAGAACATGTATCACTTCAAGCTTTCTTGGCTACAGTATGCCTGGAACCTTGACTTTGACCTCTTCTGTTTCTTTGCAGAGCCTTCACTCTTCAGGAGCTCTGCCAAGGGATATTAGAATTAGACACTCTGGGAGTGAGGCCTTTGAGGAATGTAGGTTATAGAGTCAGACTGAACCATAGTGTTCTTTTCACTAAGTCATTTCTATAGAGAGTTGGAGAGGAAGGCGTATTTATTAGATCTATGTGGAAAGGTCTATTATTGAAATAGTTCTGGAATATTCTTTAACTTTCTAGTCTTCCCCTAACCTCCACCACTGTTGGATCCTCACCCGCTGTAGATCTCAGTGCAGTTCTGCTGGTTGACTGTGCTACAGTGCTTGAGTGAGATGCTCAACCCTTTCCTTTTAAACTGGGATTCCTTAGTGAATTAAGTTCTGAATAAAGGGGTCTCCCTTGTTTTATATTTAGTACCCGTGTTGACAACTTCAATGGCAAAATTGATAGTAATATTCATCATGTTAGGTCATGAACTAAATTGTCAGTACCACTAAATATTCATGCTTTCTGCACCCCTTATGTTTTGTTTACAGTTCTAGTAATTAAGTATCTCAGAGCTCAGCTAGAAAAATAACAACTGAGCTTATTAATAATAACAATTATGGATATGAAATTTTATAAGGTACCATTTCCATTATGCAAATAGGGGAATTAATTACAAACCTGGAGAGAGAAGGTTCAGGCCTGTTAACTCAGAACTCACAGCATGAGCAGTGAGAGAGCTTTTCTTCTAACAATGACATTGACTTACCAGGTGCCCATGGAAGGAAGACTACCTCTTGGGGATCTAGAAGATCTGGGTTAAAAATGATTGCTTAATATATGACTCACAGGAGAATTTAAGCATATAGCTGGTGTTGATATATGGAAAGTCTTTGCATTTCACAAATGCTTTCTGGTACATGGTTTCCTTGAAGACTCATAACCACATGATGGTAAGGAGGTCAGATTTTATTGTTGAGGGAACAAAGCTATACAAGCAAATGGACATCTTTGGAAATGTTTCCCTGGTTCACAGTTACTTTCAATGGGAACAGTTACAGCTGCTGGGTCATAGGACATATTAAAATTCAAATATACTCATTTCTATTTTTTTTTTTGCTAGAAGATAACCTGACAATAGTGGGGAATTATACTTAGAAATGAGAATTGAGAGTCAATCTTTCCCTGTGSTTGGACACTTGAAATAAGCTCCTTCTAAAATCTGGTTTTGCTTAGGGTAGAAAGAGTGTAAATTAAGTCACATAACTAATGAGTAGCACAGAGTTAAAGGGAACTCAGGTTTCCTATTTCTCTGTAGTTCCTTCTGTAGCTCTGCAGCTGTCTCTACTCATTCCCAGGGCTCATCCACAATTCAGGACCTATCCATCCTGTCATGGGGGTGGAACCCACTTCAGGGTTCTCCAATCTCAGAATCTGGRATGAAAGCATTCCACTTGGCTTCTGGCATGTACAGATGTACTCTATCAGGATGCTCCTTAATTCATTAAAATTCTGCAAGGAGGAAACGCACCCAGCTGCCACTCTCCTTGCTCATCATCTTTCCTGATGTCAGTTGCAGCTCATTGCATTTGGCACTGCTCTTGACGTGAGTGACATTAACCAGAGCACAAATCAGGTATAGTATGTTGTGAAGTGGGGGAAAAAATCAAATCACAAACACATTTATAAAAGGAAAACAACATCAGGGTGACATCCAGGTAGTCTTTTTGATAGTCTCTGTTTCTGGGTTTGTGTTTAGTACAGATGGATCTATTTTTTAGTGTACCACTGTACCCATTTCAAAGATGTTCCTAACCTGTATTRCGAAGGAAACTCATAACACTGAGATAGCAGAACAGGAGCTATAACGAGGGCAATCAAGGGTTCCACATGGCCCAAGATGATTCCAGTTTATAACTTTCATCCTCACGTGGTTTTAGTAAAATGTCTCTTTCTTTCTAATGTGTCCTGATTTGGTAGATTAATAATTTGATTATGCTGGTGAGAGTCCCCATTTGATGAATGCTTCATCAGGGATATTTACTGAGTGAGGCCTGACCCAGGATGAGGGTGTGTGTGTGTGTGTGTGTGTGTGTGTGTGTGTGTGTATTTCATGGTTTCTGCTATTAATGAACTTCTACTCTTAAAATAACAGCAAAACAGCAGTCATCTTAACCCTGGGAACAGGAGTGAATGTCACTTGGTGACAGTTTACCATCCCTGTGAGAAGCAGTATATGAACTGGTCAAGGGTAGAACATACAGAGACAGATGCTAAGGTTCACATTCCAGTATTGCCATGTGCTCGCACTGACTGTGAGAAGAATAACTCCTCTTCCCAAGCCACTAGTTTTTTGGCTGTAAACTTGGATAATGGTATCTCTTTTCTTGTTGGGGTGGTGGTATGAGGATTGTAATGTGTAATACTGTATGAAAGGTAATGATTCAAATAGTGCCTACTGGAAACTGAGAACTCAGTAAATGAGAGCTAAGGACAGACTAGTAGCAATAGATCCTTAGTGGATTGAAAGTCTTTGGACTCAGCCCTTATGTCTGTTATTCAAACTCTGTGAAATAATAGGCAAGGCTAATGATAGAATTCCAGTATTGGAAGGGTCTGAACTATACCAGGTCCCAATTCCCTGCCAGTCAGTGGTATATGGTTAGGAGGTAAACACCATTGCTCAGAATCATTCATCACATTTCTCGACATTTTCGAATAGAGTTGTGACAGCAAGGCAAACTGTGTGCTGTGGGCTTAGAAGAACAGATGGTGTCAGAAAAAAATCTAGCATGTGATGCAAAAACATGGTGTGTTCCCATCCAGATAGGGAGAGTCAGGAACAGTGTGTGCTGAAGAGTTCCTTTATCCAATGGTGGGGATGGGAAGAGAAAGGAGGTGAAGTGGTACTAACAGCAAACTCCTTTATGGGCAGGTCTAGACTGATGCTTCTCTAGATTTTTCCCCTGGACCTAGRAAGGTGGTAAGTTTTGTGAAATGCTACTTGAATACATTCTTATTGGAAATTTACTAGGAATTCATTTCATGAGTTGATCAAAAAATTTGAATCATCTTTGGGACTTACGCCCCCACCCCCCAAAAAAAGATGATATAAAGTCAAATACTTACTTATTCAAGTTACTATTATCTAATAATGTAATTGAAATTAAGACTAACATTTTATTGAGGTCTATATGCCCGATCAGAGGTATAAAACTTAAAAGTACCAATGTGTTATCTGTAACCACAGTCTGGCGTAGATGCTATGACAGTTCACACTTTTCTTATCAGGAAACTGATTTTCAAAGGCCTAAGAGTCACACCATCACTAGAAAGGTCAAACTGTCACTTAGGAAGGTCTGAGTCTACATTTTATGGTCTTTTCCATTATGCTATGTGCTSTGGTTGATTTACCGCAAAAGTAATCAATCATAGAAGTAGGTAAACAAAACATCTTTGTTGATCATTGTTCAATGAGGAAAAAAAAATGAGTAGAAGAATAATTAAAATACCAGGGGTTAGAAAGGCATTTCTGGATTGGCTAGAACCTCTTTCTTTTCCCAGTCTGAACAACACGGACCTTCTAGTTAGTGTCTAATCTTTTTTCTTTTGGAAAATATTTTTTTTTCTTGTGAAAAAATATTACACAAGATTTTAGCAACGTTAAAGTGCAAGAAAGCCTTCCTGATTTTGAACCCAAGATGGTATTATATTACTCTAACTGAAAGAAAGAAAATAGAAATTTGAACATAAGTAATGTTCATCATATTAAATAATGCTTTCTTCTTTATTTTTTCATTCCCTGTAATTAGGGTATGACTTTTATATGATAAGCTCTGTACAGACCTATGAATAACAAAAAATGGGGAAAATAGACACAATGTCTACCCTCATTAAGATTAACATTTTGTTCTTGGATTAAAAAACATTTCCATGTTCAATATTAGGGGGTACCAATTGAATTTTAACACTCGTCTTTATTAAAAACATTTTTGCTTGCATATATTTTTAAAAAACATTCATATGCTATCTTATCGTAAAGCCCCAGAGACATCAGTAATGTGGTGTTTAATGGCTGATTGCCTTGATTTTGAAAGATAAGAGGGTCACAGCTTTACTAGTGACCCAGAGCAAGTTGATACATTTCTCCAGGCTTATTTACTAATTTAGAAAATGACCCTCTGTGCTCCTATCTCTGCAGGCAAGACACAAATATCAAGTCCTTTCCCCATGAAGATGCATCTGTCCCAGAGTTAAAAAAGCACCTGGATCCAGAGCYTTTGAATAGCTGAATTTGAAGAATACAGTCTCCTTTTCTCTGGCTACCTTTGGGTGAGTCACCTCATTTTCTGTTAAGTGGGAATGCCATTCTATGTTCTGACCACTTTGATGCTGGCCCAATGTCAGTATCCAGTAAGATGGATGGAAAAGTTCTGCATGGATTGAAGCATTTCTTGTTAAATACAGTATATCTGAGCTTTTTATCTGATGGATTTGAAATTATTTCAGACTGCGTGGTTGTACACCTTGCAATAGAAAAGGATGCTTTGTGGGTTATCTGAGGCAAGACGGTGATGTGAATTACTCTCTGATTTCAGATTCCCCTGTAACAGAATGCCTTCTCTAATATAATTTCTGATGAGTGACCAAGTAGAAATGCCTGCATAGACATTGGTCAGTGTGGGTGGGTGTAATCTATGTAATAAAATGAGTCAGTGCTCAAACTCATCCCTCCTTGCTGTTTCAGGAGGGAGAGATGCAGCTCTTGGCACCAAGTCCCAAACCAGCTTTCAGATTACAGCATATGCTCAGCAGGGAATTGTTCCCTTGTCAACAATGAGCATTAGTACAGCAGTTGGACTGGAAGGAAAACCTTTGTCTATTAGGAAGCCTGCAGAGCTTGGTTGCTAGGCAACAGAGTCTGGAGGCAGCAACGAGTGTGTACCAGGAGGGTATCCAGGGGGTGGGCCTGGAAAACAGGGAGAAGCAATTCTCTCAGAATCAGCTGAGGCAGGAGAGAAAAAAAGGCCAGTTGCACTGTCTATCACTCAGGTAAAAAAGGGGCACATATATCGAGTTCAGCTGTGCATTTTAGCACCAAAATGTTAGGTGCCAGGACTCTCAGATAACTGTATTGTCATATGGAGAACAATGTGACCTTGAGCAGGTGGTTTCCCCTGCCTCAATTTCTCTGACAGTAGCAAAAATCCAAGGATGCAGTGTCAGCAATATCTCCCACACCTGCCACTGCAGCCACCACACAGATGATACATCTCCTTGAATCCGAGTGGCACCGAGCCTGATCTTTTATGCACTGTATTTTTATGAAGGGGCAGAAGAAAAGGATGTACAACTAAGACTGCCAGGTTTCCTTACATCTAATTTTCTAAATAGAAGAATTATTTACCAACCCTAAAAAGATGTAGGTATTTATACAGGTATGGAATATAAAGAAAGTTATCTTTTGTACAGCCAAGCTGCTTACAGTTCCTCTGTCCCAAAATATGTTCCCTACTAGCCTTCCAGCAGATCTGAAAAACAACGGTCAGATACATTTTGGGGTTAAGGCATGAACTATTCCAAAAGCATCTGAGAAGGCCGATATATCATGTAAATATTCATTGATTCTCAGCTCAAGCTTGACTGTGAATTTGAACTCAAAAGAATAAGACACCTCTTCATGAAATTTGCTGTGTACAGATACACAGGGTTGAGTATGGGGCTGAGGCTGGCACATSCAGGCTCATGAGGAATGAAGCATTACAAAGGGAGAAGGCAATAGACTGTGGGCTTTGCAGATGGATTTGAAGCATTTTTTTCACCTGTTTTAGCTGTTAACCTTGAACATGTTACCCAAATTCTTTGATACACAGTTTTCTCATTAGTGCATGAGAATAATAATTATATTTGTATGTAAGAGATACTGTGAGTTCAAACTGAAATAATGCATAAGAACCACTTAGCATGGAGGCTGCCATATTTGTAAACACTGAAAGATACTAGTGAGTGAGTCAGTGTATGTATGTAGGTCAGTATCACAGAGTAAAACTGGATAATGTGGAGAAGCATACCCAGAGCCAACCACACAAAAAACAACAGAAAAACAGTTGAGTGTGTTTTCATGAACAAATGTTGTACCAGGATTTGGGAGGCCAAGATTGTGTGAAGGGCTGGGACATCACCACAGTCCTGATGGGGTCTGAGTCACTGTTTAGGTCAGAAGTTGCACACAAAGAACAGACGTGGGTCAAAACCTTTCAAGCTCACAGAGATMTATTCCAATCTAAAAGCTTGAACCTGTACCTCTCTGAATACTCTCAGTCTTTGGTATTCTTAGATCAGGTTATCTTACTCTGGGAGGGTTTTGCTTTGTACTTTCTCAYTGGATAAACCTTCCTCTAAATAAAGCATTTCTTTTTCTTCTCTGTTCCCATTTTCTCACTAGTAATGAGAAAGTTGTGTCTAGATGGTCTCTGTATCTGCTCCAGCTCTGGTCTTTTATACATTTTTTCTTAGACATTTCTTAAGTCTTAGAACTTTCCATCCCCCACCAAACCTATTTTATTCAGTGCCTATTGGGTGTTAGGTGATGAAGATACATGTTTTGATAAATATGGTGGCAAAACCTGAGGCTTGCATTAGCAAGAAATGAACAGTAACTGGTACACAGGTATGTCTAATAATTTCACAGGGTAATTGTATTATTCTGTCTTATTGCTAATGTGACAGAATTCCACAGATCTGCAATTTATAAAGAACAGAAATTTATATCCCCCCAGCTTCAGGGACTGGGAAGTCCAAGGTCAAGGGGCTGACATTCGGTGAGGGCTTTTTGCTGTGTTATTCCATGGTGGAAAATCAGAGGACAAAAGAGATTATGTGCACATTCAAGCAGGGGAAGGGGGCCCAAACTTTTCCTTCTGAAAAGAATCCAATCCCATGATAAAAAAAAAAAAATCAATGATAACAGCATTGGTGCATTTATGAGGGAAGATCCCTCATGGCCTCACGACCTCTCCTTAGGTCCCACCCCCTGACTCTGTTGATTTGTTGTTTTTCTTCCCCCCCAAACATCTGAAATTCTGGAGGAGATTTTCAAACCATAACAGTAATAAATGCTATGAAGTTCAATAAGCACCTAAAACATACCACCCTAACACAACGATCTATTAATTCTCATCTTATGGGTGGACTGGACTCAACCTCATGGTTCTTCTCCTTCTCCTCCTGCAGTTAGTTTATTCCTGTAACTGCATTCAGTGGGTACAGAGGGCATGAACTCCAATGTGTCCATGGTCCTCAAGCATGTGTGGACATCATAGTTCTTTTGATTTCCCATTGGCCAAACTCAGTCATGGGCCAGCATGGAGTCAGAGTGGGAGAGGCTGCRTGAAGATTTGAAGGGGGCTGGGGATGTGGCTCAAGCGGTAACGCACTCACCTGGTATGTACGGGGCACTGGATTTGATCCTCAGCACCATGTAAAAATAAAATAAAGATGTTGTGTCCACTGAAAACTGAAAAAATACATATTAAAAAATTCTCTCTCTCTCTCTCTCTCTCTCTCTCTCTCTCTCTCTCTTCTCACTCTCTCTCCTCTCTATCTTTAAAAAGTAGATATGAAGGCAGGACTTGGGGAGACACCAAAGTTTGGAGAAGGTGACTATTTAATGCTAGAAGATGAATAAAGTCTTTAAGAAGTAATATTAGCTGAACTGAGACCTGAAGGCTACAAGAGGATGGTTTCAGGCAGAAAAAAGAACAAATCTGAATGTCCTGAGGCAAGAAAAGGTTTGGAGTTTTTGAGGATCTGAGATTAGTCCTCTGTGGCTGGAACTTTGTGAGCAAGGGGAAGCAGTGGCTAGAGGATGAGTTCAGGGAGGTTGAGCGGAGGGTCCAATCATGCATAAGGTCCTACAGGCTAGAGTAGGATTTGGGGTTTTATTCTACAGACACTGAGACACAATGTTTAAAAAACAGACTAAACTGATGTGATTTATGTGACAGAAACCAAAGTTGGACTTCTTTGTGAAGAAAGATGTTAATTATCTCAGTCATTTCAGTAAGTCAGACACGTAGAAAAGGGACTGTGTTAGACTGAGAGGTTTAAATGACAACAATCAGATGCTAAGTGTTATACTGGAATGGAGGAAAGCTGCAWAGACATTGGAGAGTAATTACAGAATTAACACACTAAAGTTGAGAGGTATGATTATCTACTGGAGACAAGTTACAACCTAGARGGGACGCTGTGTATATATTTATTGGTTTTTCAAAAAAATCACATAATTCCTATAATGCATGCCCATAGAAATATCTACAAAGACGTATATTGAAGTGTTAACATTACTTGTGATGCCTGAGTGTGATATCATGTTTTCATCTGCTTAGAAGTAATGGGTGGGAGGGAAATGAGAGTAAAAACTAGGAGATAAGGCAGGAAGCTGAGGCAGGTGAGAGAGAATGATCACTTTGAACACTTACACTGGATTTGGTGAGAAGGAGATACACTGGGGGGTGGGTTTTTTGGATGTGGAGCTATGAGGACACAGACTGATAAACTGTTGTAGAAGACGTCAAACATAATTGGAACAACTTCCATGTTTTTGAGAGGTGGAAGTGGTGACATATTTCAACAAGATGGGAAAGACCAGGCAAGTGTGGTTTGGGTATTCTTCTCAGAGGGAGGTTCTGAGGTGACAAGAGACCCTGTGGATGGGTGACTTCTAAGGAGATGTATGAAGTTTCTGATCTTCTGATCTGGGTGAGTTGTCATTGATCCCTAGGGTTCTATTCAGGCCAAATCTTCTCAAGCAGATTAAAAAAATATATTGATGATGAATGAAGACATATCTTAGAAAGTTCTCCTGGGATGATAGCAGAACATAAAAACATATAGCACGGGGTGRTCTCTGGAATAATAGTTGCCTTTGCAAGTCTCTACCTTCTCAGAAGTCAGTGCCAATTGTTGAGAAGGTCCAGAGAAAAATAATCCAACTACTTGTCATAGATAAAAATAAGACCATTGAAGAAGAGTAAAGGGTATGGATAGAAAGTGAAATCATCTGTTTTAGAGAAAGATCATTGACATAAATAATTATTGACAGRAAGGTGGATTTTTAATCAGCACTCAGTCTTGTGAAATCCCCAGTTCACATGAATTTGTATTATCTACGGGAGGATAGTTTGAGCGTGATGAAGCATAATTTTGTAGATTACCTGGAAGACTTTCCTGTTGAAAGAAAACAACTTGTCTGTTTTGTTAAGGTCCATAATAAATTTTTTTTGGTTAGACAAAAGAAGTTGTTCATGGTTAATAAGTCAAGAGTTAAA